AGGAGGGGCAGGAAATGCCTGAGGGAGCCTCCCATCCATGAAGCAGACTCCGGCGCCTGGGGATAGTTCACGCTCCTCTGACTGGCACCAGCCAGTGTGGCCCGACGTGCAGGGGGGCGCACCATGGGCTTTGAGAACAGCAGCGGCGCCGGAGCGCTACGGCCCTGGTGGGCGAGCCGCTCTCCCCGGGCTGTGCAGGGCAGGCTGCACAGAGCGATCCGGGGCCGGGCAAGGGGCAGCCCAGGTCACCACAGCCAGGGACCACGCTGCGAGCCAGGTGCCTTTGGTCATCTCTCCGCCTGCCTTACGCTTACTAGTGATCCTTCCAGCCGGAGCGGGCACCCTTGGCCAAGGAGTTTGCAGGAGTGTGTGTATGGGGGGGGGAGCGTGCACATTGGCAAATGGGGGGCGACTCTCTCCCCCTTTTCTCTACCTCAGTGCTGGTCGAGAAAGGAGGGGAGAGCTGCAGCTTTGGTGGGGCTGGGCAGAAGGAAGGCCCTGCCGGGGCCAGGATGATTCAAGCAGAGGTGCCTAGGCTAGGGGGAGGGGAGAGCTACTTTGCAGCCCCATCTGGTTGGTCTGGTGGCGAGGAGCCGCTGGAGGGGGCCTCAGCTGCCCCGGCTCAGAGATTGGGGGTGGAGGCAGGGAGAGAGGTGTCCCTGGCCTTGCCCTATATGTTTCCCGACTGTGTCCGTGCGCATCCACAGGGGGACCCGTGCCACTTTCACCCCTCCCTCAGGGTGCTCCGACGTTTCTGCATGTGCTGGGGGGAGGGTACATGAAGGTTTGGCGGGGAGAGGGAAAGGAGATGGAGTTCGGTCAGTGGGGGGAAGTGGGAGAGGGAAGCGGACTGGGTCCAGTGGGAAAGGGGGGGATCAGGTATAGCTGGGAGGGAAGAAAGGACGCAGGGTGGATCAGGTGGGGGGCAGACTGTGTCCGGTCACTGAGGGGTCGAGTTTGCCGAGGAGAGGAGGTGGAAACTGGGTTCGGTGAGTGGGTGTGGGGAGTTGGAATGTGTGTGGACGGGGATGTGTGTGGAGGGGAGACGACGTAGGCTGGGTTTGGCTGGAGGGCATGGTGGGAGTCAAAGAGCTGCAAGGTGAAAGGGGTGCTTTCCTCCTCAGTGCCTGTCCTGCAGCAGTGGGCGGGGGGGGGGGAATGTTTTTGCTTGGGGAGGTAAAAAACCTAGAGCTGGCCCTGTGCGCGGGGGACACGTGGCCCTGTCCCTGGATGTGCAGCACACGCTCGGCCCCGCCCCTGGGTGCCTGGCCTACGCACGGCCCCACCCCCAGGCACCCGGCAGCCCCGAAAGGATGGGGACCACTGGGGTAGGATTTGCAGTGATTGACACAGGGAGGAAGCTGCAGTGACACACAGTGAAAGGGGGCTGCAGTGACACAGGGTTGGCCTGAAGTAACAGTAGTGACGCTGACACAGAGTGATGTAGCTGCAATGACACCATGACAGGAAGAGGAGAGCTACAGTGGCACAAATAAGAAAGGGGAATAAATGAGTGTACAGCCTCTGCTGCAATGTCTGTTCCCACAAAAGGGAAAGATGCAGTGTTCTGGAGGTCACCGGTTTTGGGGTTGCTGTTTGAGTGAAAGGACATAGTAAAATTAAGACCCAAAGGTCTTATGCATGGCAGACTTAAGGCAGCATTCTTCTCAACTATACTCAATGTATAGTTTAAATTTACAATGAGATTTATTTAAATTGCAAATCTTTCAAGGTCAGGTTTTGATACACACATTCCTCTTATTCACAATTCCTGCATTCATTGTTTGAGGTTGAGAAAGGAGATTCTTGGGAATGGAATTTTAGATAACTATGTAAGACAGTTAACTAAAAAGGTATACGAATTACTTTTATATTTTTTAATTTTTGGTTCCTGTACAGGCTGTGACCATCCTCCACTTTTGGAGTTGTACACAGTCCCTGGCTTACAGTAATACAAGCTACACACCGCACACGCACACACTGCACACTGCGTGCGTACACTGTACACCGGGCACACACACACACAGTTACACAATGCTACACAGAACTATATGTCATAGACACACTATACACTCTGCACACACACAGTATAAACAGTGCACACACAAAATGAAGAATAATTCTATATGGACTCCCCCTGACGGTCGGAATTACAATCTGGATTTCTATATACAAAGCTTCCACAACAACGCACAGACTGACATTATTCGCAAACAACAACAAGTGACACACAATCTCAGCCATGCTGAACAACATGCCATCCAGAGTCTCAAAAACAACCTGGACATTATAATCAAACCAGCTGACAAAGGTGGTGCTGTTGTCATTATGAATAAGCCGACTATAACCAAGAGGCAACCAGACAACTCTCCAACACCACATTTTACAAACCTCTCTCCTCCGATCCTATCTCGGAATACCAAAAGAAATTACTCTGTCTCCTTAAAAGCCTCCCTACAGCTACTCGGGAACAAATCCACACAGAAACACCTTCTGACCCCCGACCAGGATTTTTCTATCTGCTTCCCAAGATCCATAAACCTGGACACCCCGGACGCCCCATCATCTCTGGTATTGGCACACTCACTACTGGTCTATCCAGCTATGTAGACTCTCTCCTCAAACCCTACGCAACCAACACCCCCAGCTATCTCCGAGACACTACTGACTTCCTAAGGAAACTACAAAACATCGATAACCTCCCCAATAACACCATCCTTGCCACCATGGATGTAGAAGCACTATACACCAACATCCCACATGAAGACGGATTACAAGCAATTAGAAACACTATCCCAGAGGACACCACTGCCAACCTGATAGCAGACCTATGTAACTTTGTTCTCACCCACAATTATTTCCAGTTTGAGAACAACTTATACCTCCAGATCAGCGGCACAGCCATGGGTACACGCATGGCCCCACAGTATGCTAATATCTTCATGGCTGACCTAGTACAACGTTTCCTCAACTCCCGTCCCCTTTTACTCCTTCTCTACTTACGCTACATCGATGACATCTTTATGATCTGGACGCATGGCCAAGAAACACTGGAGACATTCCACAGAGATTTCAAGAACCTACACCCCACCATTAACCTCAGCCTGGACCATTCCACACGAGAGATCCGTTTCCTGGACACCACCGTACAAATCAACAATGGAAAATTAGACACCACCCTCTACAGAAAACCCACTGACTCATACAGTTACCTACATGCTTCCAGCTCCCATCCAGAACACACCATACGATCCATCGTCTATAGCCAAGCCCTTCGATACAA